GCCCTGTAAAATGAGTGTAAGAACGTCCCGCCCAAGTCCTATTGGGCCTATGATGGATCAGAGGAATGGTGCTTTGAAATGTCAAATGTTCAATTCTCTCACAAAGTACTTTTGGTGGCCCTGATTTGCTGGTGACCCAAGCCTGGTCTGCCTGTTGGCGGTGAAAAGCCACATTCCACCTCTCCAGCGGGACTCAGCATCCATGTCTCCACCTGCAAAGCAGGACTTGATGGCCTCTTAGGACTCCTCTGGCTTTGACCCTCTGAGTTTCTGTCCCTCAAACCCTCCATCTCAGCCTAAGCTGGGGACGTCAGCCCACGACTGCCTCTGAGCGCAGCAATGCACAGGGCAGGAAGGCAGCCTCCCTGTGGGTGCAAGGAACACCTGGTGACCCAATCTGTCGGGATGGGTTCTGGTTAACAGTGGGTTAACCCTCTCAATTTGGAACAAAACAAGTTCACTGTTTTGTCAAATCCTGGGATATTATTTCAAAGAAACGTTTGCATTGCCAGATACCAATTTAGTACCTACCATGTAGAGACCCAGAGAAAAATTTGCAATTTAGTTGTGTTTGTTATCCACTGAAAAAACAAAAAGAGAAATAGGAATCTTTGTTCCAATATTTCTTTCTTGGAAACTTGAACTTTTGGATTCTCCAGGACACGTGTTTGGAAGAAAGAGTCTTGTCCTGGGAATCAAAGACGTGGTATAGTGTTCCTGACTCTGCAGCCCGCCAGCTGTGGCACCCAGGAATGCCTCTGACTTTTCTGTTCAGAGTCTCTGGCCTGTGGTAGGGTGGGGAGAATTGGTTGGACTTGAAAATAAAAAAGTTTTTTCCTGTTTTTACTTGGTGGTTTTATGAGAAGTGTTTTGTCAGAAGAGTGGGAAATTAGAAGTGACTCTAGGAAAATAAGGAGAGACTGTTCATGAAATCATTGGGATTAAGAAGGAAGTAATACCAATGTCAACTTGGACTTGCCCTGGGGGTCACTTAGTCCAAGGGACAAATGTAGAGGATGAATCAGCACTTTCCTTTAGCTCAAAATCCCCAGGTTTGCGTGTTGAAACTGATTCCTCTGGGAAGGGTTCTTTTGCCTTGGAACAGATACTGCAAGCACATTTCCAGTTCTTCTCTATCAACAGTGCCTCCTAAGCCTTCCCAGGTAACCATGACACCTCTGTTCAGGGACTAGGGAAGCCTGCTGGGTAGGGGGCATGCAGTGAGCACCTGCCGAGGTGCAGCAGCAGGTAGGGAGAAATGTTCAGTGGAGTTACACGGAGACTATCTTAGATCCACTGTTGCTGCCAAATTGTGGGAGAAGCCATTAGCAGGACCCCAATCAGGAATGAATCTTCCCACCAAGAGTATTTTCAGTGTCATTCCCTTCACTGTAACATGACAAACAACCCCACACCCAGAGACAGGATACAAAGTACTCAACTCAGATGGAAACCGCAGAACCATTGCACCAAGCAAACAAGACAGAAAAGAGCCATTCCTTGGTTAATAATTATGGTGAGAGGACAGCATGTTGCAGTTAACATGGTGACAAAGAGGTCATTTTTTAACAAACTCGAACCAAATGCCAAAAGGGAAAGGAATTTAGGGTCCTCATTTAAGAGATGTGATATCCCCCAAAACGACCATATGGGACATGGAAAAGAGAACCAGAAGTTCTTCCACAGCACTTAACACAATTGCAATTTAGTAATTATGTGATTCGTTGCTTAATGTCTTTCTTTACCTTTAGAATTTCATACTCATGAGGTTAGAGACCTTCTTTGTCTTGTTCAACTTATCTATTATACACCCAGCAAATGACAGGTGGTTTGTAAATTGTAGGTACTTTTTCCATATTTGATTTAAAAGGCAAAAAGGGAATCCTGGGAAAGGATGAAGAATTTTGGGATAGGACAGAGTCCATTATCCACCCTCTAGACCTGGTTATAAATAAGTGTGGTTACACTCACTATACAGTGATCATTGTGTAATTCTCATTCCAGAATCTCTGGTTGTTCTGATTTCCAGATGGGCCTGGTTTGCAGATGTTCCCCCTGCCCACTTCCTGAGCATCCAGCTTTAACTCACCATGGAAACCACAACCTGTAACGGGTCAGGGGACTCCCCGACCATCTTCTACCTGATGGGCATCCCCTCTCTGTCGAAATCCCTCTTCCTTCCAATCTTTTTTGTCTTTCTCCTCCTCTACCTGCTCATCCTGGTGGGCAATGCCCTGATCCTGGTGGCTGTGGTGGCAGAGCCCAGCTTCCACAAGCCCATGTACTTCTTCCTGATTAACCTCTCCACCCTAGACATACTTTTCACCACAACCACCATTCCCAAGATGCTGTCGCTACTCCTACTTGGGGACTGCTTCCTCAGTTTCCCTGCCTGCTTCCTGCAGATGTACCTCTTCCACAGCTTCTCCTGCTCAGAAGCCTTCATCCTGGTGGTCATGGCCTACGACCGCTATGTGGCCATCTGCCGCCCACTGCACTATACTGTCCTCATGACCCCACAGACCAACGCTGCATTGGCAGCCAGTGCCTGGCTCACTGCCCTCCTCCTGCCCATCCCAGCAGTGGCACAGACCTCCCAGATGGCATTTGGTCCTATGGCCCGGGTCTACCACTGCTTCTGTGACCACTTGGCTGTGGTCCAGGCCTCCTGCTCCGACATCACACCCCAGACCCTCATGGGCTTCTGCATTGCCATGGTGGTGTCCTTCCTCCCCCTGCTCCTGGTGCTTCTCTCCTATGCCCACATCCTGGCCTCGGTCCTTCACATCAGCTCCCGAGAAGGCCGCTCAAAAGCCTTCTCCACCTGCAGCTCCCACCTGCTGGTGGTGGGCACCTACTACTCATCCATTGCCATAGCCTACGTGGCCTACAGAGCTGAGCTGTCCCTCGACTTCCACATCATGGGCAATGTGGTATATGCTATTCTCACACCGGTTCTCAACCCTCTTATCTACACACTGAGGAACAAGGATGTCAAAGCAGCCATCACCAAAATCACATGTCCCAAGGACCCAAGAATGCTGGGAAACCCTGATTCAAAGGGCTAACCCAATCTTCTTATAAACACCAATAACAGTAGAGGGAAAAATGGAAAATTCAGGCAGCCAGGTAGAACAATAATTCTCAAAAGTGTCATCTTAGGTATTCTTCCATTGTAATCAAATAATGGTATTTGTTTCTTAATTCATAGATAAAATGGATAGGATTTTTCTATTCCATTTTTAAGCTGTGAATCCCAAACTTCATGATACTGTCAATACACCTGAAGTCACGTTTTCATTAATTCAAACAATTTTGTTTCTCAGAGACTCCAAGTATTTGACTACAAGAAATTTAGTTATTTTCTTTGGATCTCTTCTTTCAGTATTTCTGAAAATCCCACATAGATGTGAAACTAAACAGCATAAAGTGCTATTTTTGCTGAAACAGCATTTTAGAAATACCCTTCAAAGGAAAAACTCTGAAGCTGCTATATCTCAATTCTTGTTGCCTGAAAATTCACTGCCACTACCAATATTTCAACACCATCCACACAGGAAATTTACCTCTGCTATCTAGACCCTCGTGGTGTCTTAACAGCAGAGTATGCTTCCCTCTAGCCCCAGTTTATGCTCAGGCAAGGGGTGTCCCCTTGCACCTGTCTGGGCAAAAAGCAATACGGTGTTTTTCATTCTCAGCACACCAAAGCTTCCTCATCCATGACACTGGGTGGCTAAGTAAAGAAAATTCTCCTTATCAAGTGACAGATATCGTCATCTGTGGCTCTTCACAGATAGCCCCATTCCAATTTCTAGGGTCCCAGTTTTTGCCAATCAAGACATTAACTTTAATTGTTTTCCCATTGCATATAACCCAATGTACACAGAAACTCAATTGACGATGCAATTCAACAAAGGATATGATTTGTTCCTGGACTCAGCTTTCAGTGGTCTCAGAGATCCTGCTAAGGTCAGAAAGGGCTTCCTGAAGCAGAGTGGTATGAAGGCTCTGAGTTTCTTTGTTTACTGACCCTGGGCAACAGGGATTGGTCTCATGTTCTTCTATCTAAACTGCCCTCATTCTGCAGTACGTCTGTTTCTCACTCCTTGAAATTGGTGTCTTAGGCCTTATTTGGACCACTGTCCTCAAGGTCTAAGGAGACAGCTTAATAAGTTGTCTTGCCCCTGAGTTCCACAAGCTATTAAATTTAATCTAAGAATGGGAAGGAATTCTTTTTTTCTTTCTTCTCCACTACCAAAAGTACCCCCACGTTACTACCACTGTTATGTTTTGGGCTTCTCTGTTCAGAACTTCTCTTCTGGTATCAATTTCAGTTTCGGGCCAGGGCTGTGGCCATGTGTTTGCTGTGTCACTGGATCAGCCTCATGGCATCCTTTTATTTTCAGCTCTCCTTCTAGAAAGAACAATGAATTAATCACGTGGACAGTGAATTGTAGTGATATGGAATCCAAGCTAGTTCTATCCCCACTCATTATTTTCTTTTGGCTCCTCCTAAACATTTGTCATGAGTGCATGAAATAATAACAACAATAAAGTTTTTCACTTGTAGCCACACCTGCTAATTGGCACAGTCTCTCTGTATTTCCCAATTATAAAAAATAGTTTCAACTTTGGTGCATCAAAGGACACTATCAAGAGAGTGAAATGACGGGCCGGCCCGGTGGCGCACTGCGCTAGTGTGCCACTTGGGAAGCGTGGCTGCGCTCCCACCGAGGGTTCGGATCCCACATACAGACCGGTTTCCGCTCACTGGCTGAGCGAGTGTGGCTGCGCTCCCACCGAGGGTTCGGATCCCACATACAGACCGGTTTCCGCTCAGTGGCTGAGCGAGGCGCGGGGGCAACACCGAGGGTTGCGATCCCGTTGCCGGTCCCGGTCCGGTACAGGGGCAACACTGAGGGTTGCGATCCGTTGCCGGACACGGAAAAAGACAAAAGACAAAAAAAAAAAAACAAAAAAACTTTTTCGTATAACTTCGTATAATGTATGCTATACGAAGTTATTACGTAAAAACCTACATACCAGTCTATAGATGAATGAACAATATATGGTATACAGTCATGTCGCTTAATGACAGGGACACATTCTGAGAAATGCATCATTAGGTGATTTTGTTGTATGGGACATCATGGAATGTACTAACACAAACCTAGATGTTACAGGATACTACACACCTAGGCTATATGGTATAGCTATTACAATCTTATAGGATCACTGTCATATATGCAGTCCGTCATTGACTGAAATGTTATGCAGTGCATGACTGTATGCATAAAATGGAGTATTACTCAAACTTAAAAAGAAATAAAATCATGATACATGCTGAAGAATGGATGAAACTTAAAGACATCATGCTAAATAAAATAAGCCAGACATAAAAGGGCAAATACTGTATGATTGCACTTATATAAGTTACCTACAATAGTCAAATTCATAGAAAATAGAACAATATAGTTTTCAGGAGCTGAGGGGAAGGAAAAATGGAGTTATTGTTTTTATGAATACAGTGTTTCTGTTTGGGATGATGAAAAAGTTCTGGAAATGGATAGTGGTGATAATTGTACAACATTGTGAACGTACATAATGTCACTGAATTATAGACTTTTAAATGCTTAAAAAGTTAAATTTTATGTCATGTATATTTTACCACAATTTTAAAAAATTTGAATCGTTTCAAACCAGGCCATAGGCCACAGGTCACTGAGTAGCCTAAGAGTTGGCTGCCTTTTTGTCAGATGTCTCTTCTGGACCAACTCTCTGTGGCCAGAGGGAAATGTACAAAGTTCAGTCACATGGTTTAGCACAGACACTTAAGAATCACTGGAAGTGGGGGCCAGCCCGTGGCTCACTCGGTAGAGTGCGGTGCTGATAACACCAAGGCCGCGGGTTTGGATCCCATATAGGGATGGCCGGTTTGCTCACTGGCTGAGCATGGTGCTGACAACACCAAGCCAAGGGTTGAGATCCCCTTACGGGTCATCTTTTAAAAAAACAAAAAAAGAATCACTGGAAGTGGCTGGGGGTGGGGGCGTGGAGGGGGATTGGGGAGATACTGGTCAAAGGATACAAAATTTCAGTTAGGTAGGAGGAATAAGTTTGAAGAGATCTACTGTACAACATGGTTACTATAATTAATAATAATGTACTATATACCTGAAAATCACTAAAACAGATTCTAAGTGTTCGCATTAAAAAAAAAGCATTCAAGATAATGTGTATGTTAATTATCTCAATTAGCAATTCTGCAATGTATACATATTTTAAAACATCATGTTGTAAATGATAAATACATACAATTTTTGTTTGTCGACTAAAATAAATAAATTAAATACTTAAAAATAAAAAAATCAGTGAAGCAGTTTGCCTTAAAAAGAAGGGTGGGAAGGCAGGCATCTGAAGCCCTGTACACTGGGGGGAGTCCTTTCAACCCTGTGAACCTCTGGTGGTGGTTGTGAAGGTCTGAACAAGACTGGGTCATCTCTCTCCATTGTCTCTAGCCTGCCCAGCTCCTCTCCATCCCCATGTCCTCAGCCCTGGTACAGGTGTCACCACCTTTTCTCCTTGGATGAGTACAGCAATCTCTTCACTGGTCTCTCTGCCTGCATGCCCACCCTCCAGTCCACAAAGAGGCCAGAGTGGGCTTTCTGATGTACAGATCTCCTCACATTACCACCCTCAGTGTGACTTAAAAGCTCTCTCTGATCTGGCCCTAAACGATCTCTTTGACTTCAAGTTTCACCATTGCCTCTTATGGCAATTCTGAACTCTGGTTTCTCAAACTCTTCAAGTTCTCATTCTCAGCAATAATAAACTCTTCTCTTCCTGAAGCTCTCTTCCTCCTTGCCCATTTCACCTGCTTAAATCTTACTCAGGCTTTCCCTAAATGCCGAAGTTCAGCTTCAGCGAGGGGTGGGTACCCAAAAAGGGAGAGAGAGTCGGCGAAAATAACAAACACAGACAGAGACCTCAATGCATCAGTATGCACAATACAGCATATATTTTTATCCCAACACCTGATTCTTAATGATTTATTTAAAACTGGACATCACCAAGTAAAGGGGGTTCTACAGTTTCGTTCCCATATACTTAATTTGTCCCAATCATATAATTTCTCATTAATGCCAACCATTCTCTTGCCATTA